AGATATATCAAAATTTGGAATGAGCCGTAATAATACATTCTGAGGTTAGGTCAACGTTGGACAAGATGAAGAGCAAGAAATCTGTAAAAGCAGATGACATTTAATATAAATGCTATTAAAAATCCTTAAACAAATTTGGGATCGATAAGATTCTCTTCTTCGTGTTTCTTCAGGACTTCGGATAGCTCATAGATCATAGCTCTCCACGATTTCCTGTCTGTTGTAATTCTTAGTAAATTTTCTTTTTTTTTTGTTTGTTAGTTATCTCTCCTAAACCTTGTTCGACTATTCATTTACTCCACTTCTCTCGGTAGATTATGCATTGTTTTCCTCTGTCCTGTGAGTATCAAATTCTCTAAGCCCTCTTTCCTCGCTAGAAACTTCATTTGTCTGACTTGATAAATAAAATATACGACAACGCTTGACTAGTTTATTAAACATGTTGACGTGTATATTTCTAAATATCTAGTGGGATCACTCTCTCACCTCACTGGGGAGAAGATCCAGACACGACAGAGATATTAGAATTAGTTTAACGATACAAGAACTGAAATAGTAAATGAAATATATCACAGCGGAACACAATGGACTTAACGCAAGTCTACTTCTCTTCCAAGCTTCTTTATTGGCATTAAATACAATTCAAACCATCTGTTATTTTCTGATGTGATTTGCATACTACAATAGTCTGAGAGGGTAGCTTATTAACTACTGTATGACAACGATTTGCTCAGGTTATATCATTTATGATTTCAATAACTGAATATGTTCCACAACGAAATCAGTTTATTAATATAAATACTAAATTATAAAACGTCGAGATTAAAAAAAGAAAAAGAAAGAAAGCATTTTGTAACTGATTCATAATTTAACCTTAAATATATGTCTGTTCACGGAGAGCAGTAGACTTATGTGCACATGTAGATATTTATGAGTTGCTGCGATGGCCCAGATTTTTGTATCCAAGAAACATAAGCCGAGGTTTAATGGCAAGGCAAGTCATTGACGCCATCGCACTGACATGGAAACAAATACTGATGCGCGCGTAAGTCACTTGGGAAAATCTGGGAAATAAATGAAAGTAATAATATAATCAATGCAGCCAGCAATTAACTGTTATGAGAATTGGACGAAAATGTCTGATTGTAATAAAATTAATGGAATGCGCTTGATTTGAATGTTTTGGCTCAGCAAATAATGATTTCGATATGTTTTGCAGCCTTACACATATATATATATATATATATATATATATATATAGAGAGAGAGAGAGAGAAAGAGAGAGATGTATGTGTGTTTGTGTGTGTAATGTTCTCATGTCCTTTGGGAAATTTTATCTTCAAAACTGATAAGCAACAAACAACATTAAATTCTTATATTGGCCACACATGCACAAATCTCTCTCTCTCTCTCTCTCTCTATATATATATATATATATATATATATATATATATATATATATATATATATATATGATAACAGATAATTTTATGTCATGTTTTATTTATACGGCAAAAGTGGTCAATATAAATTATAGTAGTTTAAGATGGATGATTATTAACTATGCCTTATGCGTTCGTAAATGTCTAAATCTTAATTTCGAGCTGAGGATGATGTGGAACAATTGAGTGACTATCATGATCATCAGACCTAACACCAGACAATTTCTTATGGAGTCTACTGAAAGATTATGTTTACATACTCAAGCCGAAAGCAATTCCTGAATTAAATTTCGTATAAATTTTCTGAAATTAATGAAGAAATATATCAAATTGTAGCACTATCCCCTCGTTCTTTGGGGTGTGGGGGTGGCTCTAGTTTACTGCACCAATTAATACAATGTTGTATCTTCTCTCACATCTATCGTATCCTCCCGACCGGTGACCGCTAGTCGTTTTGGTTCGAACTTCAACAAAGAGAATTTTAATCTTAACTAGTTTATTAAACATGTTGACGTGTATATTTCTAAATATCCAGTGGGGTCACTCTCTCACCTCACTGGGGATCTGATCTACGACAGATAATACGTCTACATTATTCGACGTGTAAGACTCGACTCCCCGAAAAACTTTTCTCTATCATCCCCACGCTAGTTCAGCCTATCCTAAATAGACTTCCTTTGTTTTGTCTTGTATCTGACCCCTAAAGTCAAACTAAGGAAGTCAAAGCAGAAATACACTTCTCTGAAAAATAAGCCTGCTAAACTATTATTTAACGAAATGGTTTGTATAAATGTTGGTGCTAGGGTTCATTGTTGTACTGAACATGATATTGGGCATTTTAGACCTGTTAAATAGTTTAATAATCATAACAAATAATCATGTTATTTTGATGTGAAAAAGCACATACACGCGCACACATGCACACACACATATATATAATCATTTTACCTTAATAAATTTTCTTTCAATACTGCAATTTATTTTTGCATTTTATTTTGCTTATTTGAAAGTTGATAAATAAAAAGGGTGTTATGTTTCTTTCACCAAGTATATATATATATATATATATATATATATATAAGTGAACATAGAAGTCGACACTTAGAGGCGACAGTCTGTTTGATGATAGACGCAATCGTCAGGCCACCTAGCATGCGTCTAGCATGAAACAGACTGTCACCTCTACGTGTTGACTTTAATGTTCACTTTTATATTTACACACGCTCTATTTCTGATATTGAGCACTTTATCCCATAAATATAGCACACCTTAAGATTATGTATATATCCAGTTAAGATGAGAACGAATAAAGTACAGTTCCTAATTTCTCAAACATTTTATTTAAAAGAGGACTCAATACAAAGTAGACCAATATTATTTAATTCGGGATAATACAGGGAAAACTTATAAAAATCGCTACACAATTGCAGTCGTGTTTATTTACAACCTCCATGTAACTTCTACCTTTTATCTCTATATCCCATATTATTTTTCGATGAAAAGCCATTTCGTATTTTATTTTCCAAACATATTTCGACAGGGCAGTTGTATTGCAATATTTTCGAAATCTATGATATAAAGTTATAGTATCTTCTTATGAATGCACCGTCGGACCATCCAATAAAAATTTATCATAGAAAGAACGTCTAGGTAGACCTCAAGGACACATGGCAAAGTAGATAAAGGCGTTGGTTAGATCCAGTGACAGCACCCAAACAGTGTACGTTCAATACCTGGTTAAGGCAGTGGAAAAATTGCAGAGGGGAATGAACAGGAGATAACGGATAACTGACATCCATTAAAAACATTTTTTACATTTCCTTTTGTCTTTATTATTCATATTCATATTGTCCTTTTACAGATATATTATTTGTTATATATAAAATTGAACCCCCCACACACACACATCTCTCTCTCCCTCTCTCTGTCTCTGTATATATATATATATATATATATATAGAGAGAGAGAGAGAGAGAAATATAGTCTTAAGATGTGCTATATTTATATATATATATATATTCGTCAGGCCGCCTCCATCTAGCATGAAACAGACTGTCGCCTCTAAGTGTTGACTTCTATGTTCATTTATATTTATATATATATATATATATATATATATACAGAGAGAGAGAGAGAGAGAGAGAGAGAGCGAGAGGGAGATTTTATTTATTTTCTTAGTATCCTTTTTAAAGGAAGAAAGAAAATTACCATGTTGATGCATATTCATTTTATTGCGAGTACTTTCGACATTATCACAATGTCGTCATCGGGATCATTATGTTCATCTGAAAATTAATTATTTACGTATGAAGTGAAAAACTCTGTTTATGTATTCTAATGTCATTTTGGTGATTTTATCACCAATACGAACAATCGACAATTATATATTTACCTTGGACACATATACACCACATTCTCTGGTAGCTTGATAGAGAAGTAAACAATATGAAACAATAATTTCCGAAACCATGTTGTTTGAAGAAATAATATTGACATTAAACCATTTTTTCAAATAAAATTAGAAAGTATTTTGATATAAAGAAAAAAAAAGATTCCATAAAACTATTTTATTTTATGCATCAAGATGAACTCAAAATCCATCCTATGTAATAATAATAACAATAATAATAATAATAATAATAATGTTGATTATGACTTTTCCTGTCCTTAGGGAGATTGTGTCTTCAACACTAATAATCAACAAACTATATTAACTTTTATATTGCTCATGTATGCACCACTCTTTCGTAAGGTGACAAGGAATTAAGTAACAAACACACGCATACACACACACACACACACACACGTGTGTGTGTGTGTGTGTGTGTTGCTGCTGCGTGTGTGTGATAAAATATAGTTATCATTTATGCTATATTTATAGCATGAATTGCTAAATTTCCTCTATAATGTTTATTTAAATATGTGTGGAGACATACTGCAACATTGAATGGCGTCAGTCTATTTCTTGACAACATCTGAAGATGTATGGAATGTAAAAATAACGAATGTTTGTCTTAATTTTTGTTAATTTTTGGTGTCAGTAAAATGGTGCCAAAGGATCATAGAAATGTGAAAAACCGCCGCCATAATTATGAAGAAAGGCGTCAATTGCGCGCGCTTTCTCTTTCTTTTTTCTCTCTCTGTCTCTCTTTCACTTTCTCTCTGTCACTCTTTTTCCTTCTATCTCTCTCTCTCTCTGCTAAATGTCATAAGTTTAAAATTGAAACATCTATGTATAACCGTAAGTTCTATGCTGACAGTTTTTTTTTCGCTTGTGTGAATCTCCCGGTTTCATGTTTTGATTGATTTGTTTTTTATGACTTATCAACCCATTACAGGTTCTTTCAAAGCCAGAAAATGTTTTAGATTGTGATTCTTTTTTTTTTTTTTAGACAATAATGATTTTAGTGATACAACTTAAGCCATAAATGGGTGAAAGGGAGGGATCCATACATTTCTCAAGGTTTATTTGCATGTAAGTGAATATAATGAACCCAACTGGAATTGGAACTCGACTCTCCGTTTAACAATTCCGTTACTCCATCCGCACATCTAAACTTACAGCACGTGGTATTCCCAGGCGGTCACCCATCTAGGTGATGACCAAGCTCGACCTTGCTTAACTTCAGTGATCGTTCAGGAACCGGTGCTTCAGCGCAACATGGCCGTTAGCTACTTTCTTGTTATTTCCTTTTCTGTCAACTTTGATCGTCAGAAATTTAAATGCAACGTCAATGGTTTTCTTCTGTCTTCTTAATTCATGTTCTTTTATTGTTCTCTCTCCTTATTAGTGTTTTCTTTTTATGTCCTATTACACGCCGTAGCCCCTTGCATCTTAGTAGCTTTTTGCCTTGCCTGGGGTGAAATGATTAAACACCAGACGGTAATTTTGCTATGACAAAATATCGTTTTCGTATTTGATTTTAATTTTAAAAATAATAGTACGCTGATATTAATCACAGGCACTTAGGTATGCCATTGATCTTTGTCTGTTTTTTCTTTGTTGTTTTTTATTAATGCTCTGTCAATACAAGGCTCAAGAGGCACTTATGGTAGAGAGTTACTGAATGAAATTGCTGTATGAACGCTAAGAGCAAGATGTAAAAAATGCTGTTTGTGAGGTTATGTGGGAAAGTCAAAGGTTAAGCCTAAACTTGAAGAAGTTAAAATTGTAAGACCCCTGGAAATAATTTTATGTACAAAATGCGCATCTAGAGAGAAGAAACGAACGCATCATACTAAAATTATTATAACTATATGTAACAGTCAAAAGACATTTTTCTTTTAAAAAAGACAGATCAAAAGCCGGTGTGTGCATGGGCGTGTGTTTTGTGTGTGTGTGTGTGTGTGTGTGTGTGTGTGTGTGTGTGTGTGTGTGTGTGTGTGTGTGTGTGTGTGTAATACTTCAGTAGGCGACAATATACTTTGCATTAAACTCATCTCGCTAAACGTGATATTTTTATTCGTTCGAATATCGTTTTTATTCGTCAAAGCAATTTCATTTCGATATTCAAAAACTAAAACGGTCCTTTGTGTATATGAATGGCTTTTCTTCCCCTTCTTACTCGAAGATTTCATGAGGTTTGGTTTAGTTTGGTTTGGTTTGTTTTACGGCTTATCAACCTGAATGTTTGTTTTTTTTTAATGCCGACATCATTTTTATTGCCGGTACTTTTTTTTTTAAATGTATTGCTGATAATACTTTTTTTTTCTTTTTTTTTTTTTCAAAAATGTATTGCTTGGGATTTTTTTTTCAAAAAATGTACTGCTGGTAATTTTATTTCCAAAAATATATTGCTGGTAATATTTTTTTTCAAAAAAGTATTGCTGGTATTAAAACCTATTTTTACACTTCCATAGTGCTTTGACCCCAGTTTGTGGGATTAACTATTTGCCCAAAGCTGGGACCCTAACAGATGCTACGAGCTCAAGTCAGGGTGAACCTGAGAACACCAGCAATTAAGAGGTGGTTGCATGCTCCTCAAAACCTTCTGATCAGAGGCCTTGCTGCTGAATCTAGTTGATCGTCATACCCAGAACGCGGATGTAGTTTGTCATACACAGGACAACCTCATTAGGGGTAGGGGTCTTACCCCTCTGCAGAGGTGCAGTCTGCGTATTCTGAAGACCCAGCCAGCAGGGCATAACATTTCATGAAAGGCTTAAACGTTTCATGGTGATCTTTCGGATATTCTCATTCTTATTATTATTCTTTATGTGCCATCATTGTTTGACGATGTAGGCGATCATGGCTCTCCACAACTTCCAGTCCTTCGTAACGCTTAATAAATTTTGTCTAGTCATTCTTTCTCCTAAACCATGTTCTGCCATCGATTTACTCACGCTCACTAAGTATATTATGTGTCGTTTTCCTCTGTCCCTCTTGCCTTATATCTGACCTGTGAGTATCAGATTTCCCAAGCTCTCTTTCCTTATTATGTACCCATGAGATTTCAACTATATGTTTCCGATGTAAAGTATAAATTTCCTTTTTGTTTCAGTTTTCTTTTTCTTTTTGCTTTTAGAGAAAATTAAAACAAAAAGGAAACTTTGTCATTGTTCGCATCTTCGATTTGATAATGGATCCAAAATTGACTCTTGAGCGGTTATCAATTTGATATGACGCGTATACATCGAAAATTCTGATTTCTCTCTTCATATTTTCTTGTTTTTAATACATCCCTTTAAGATAATGATCATTAAAAGCGAAATTGAAAAATCTTTTATATCGTAAAAGCTCAAGATATTTGCTGTAGCAAAATGTGCTTTTTCTAAAAAAATACTTATCATCTCACAGTAATATTTGTAGTAAAATATAATATATACAGAATAGATTTTAAAAAAGCCTATTAAAAAACAGGAAAATTTATGAATGAATACAGTAAATAACTATAAATATATGTAGCACATTACGATAAAGAGTGTGACGTACATGTAAGTACGCCACTACATTTTCGGCTAAATGTCCATTCGGTTAAATGCCCGACGGTCAAATGTTCTTCGGTCAAGTAATATGGCGAATAGGTTATAACGTACAAAAGAAGTTCCAAATGTTTTCTCACGTTATTATTGTCGAATGCTGCCTTGTCTCGTCGTGAAGGAGAATACCAATTTTCCTATTGACGGACACGATGCAGCTACTGGACGTATAAATGTGCATTTAGTGTTTCATGAAGTTTTAAGAACTCTAAATGAAAAATAAACATTTGATAACATTACTTTTCTTCTATAGAGCTCAATTTTGGGGGGTGGGGTGTGGTTCTACCGAAGGATGTTTAGAATACCATAGACTGAAGATGTGAATAACTAGAAAGTTTTAAGGAAAGTGGAAGTAAATATGATGCTTATACTTCGAATCAGAAAGAGGCAGTTGAAATTTCTAGAACACACAGTGCGGAAAGAGAGATTACAGAATTCGACACATTCCGGGTATAAGGAAGGCAAGAGGCCAGAGGAAAACAGTGAAAAGCCTAAATGACTAGCTAAGAAAAAACTGGGATTGATGGTAAAAAGACAAAGCTTATAAAGAGCTTCCAATATGATGTATTTAAATTTGTGTATGAATATGAGATTATAGATATGTCTACTCTCACTCAGCGGAAGATTATATTTCCTTGAACAAATTTGTTTAGTCAAGAGAAACTTGTGTTACGCAAGACAGACAAGTGATGTTTGTCTGAATATCTTGAAGATAAGTATTTAACATAGATGCCTCCATAGATTCGCGATACATAAAGTTTTAAATGAATTTTTTTTAATGAAAACATCCTTCTTGCAGCTATTATTTTAGTTCTAATTTTAAGCTAATATATTAAATTTAATATTTTCAATTAGAAAAATATTTCGCCATATTTCAAAATTCATTTAAACAGACTGGATTTTTTAGCTGTTTTTAGTGGTATTTTTAGCACGTTTATATTTCAATGTAATTCTCATTTTTAAAAAATATTGCAAAAATAAAATATACTTTTCTCAATCTTTATTTGAGAAATATTACCTGATTTAAAGTGTAATTAATCTGATTTGAAACAAATATTATTTACTTAAAAAATAATTTTGAATTTTGTTTTGTATGTGTATAAACATGTCGATTTTAAATATCACAGAAATGCATTTTTAACCAGAAAGTAGTTGCTTATTTATGGTGTTGACGTGCTGACAGCGTGATGACAGTTCTAATTGTGTTCTACGAGGAATTTATCGGTATAATTGAAGAAAATGACTTGAGCGCCTTTTCCACATCATTTTTAAGTATTCACTAATAAATATTTTCAGTAATCTATTGTTTTATTGAATCGTAGGTACTTTGGCTTTAAATTTAATATAGTTATCGCTCTTATTTTCTGATAATGTGTATGGACGCCGGTATCTACGAAAATCGACATGTTTATACACATGCAAAACAAAATTCAAAATTCTTTTTAAAATATTGGTGCTTGACCAAGATGTTCCGCTATTAACTAATATAAATATTAATTAGGGAAAATTAAGTTATCGAAATTTCCTAAAATTAAGTAAATATGTGGTGGGTAAAAACTGTAAAAAATATATATTTTTTTACCAATTATTTCTAAAATATTTTCATTTATTTGTGAGTATATCCTGAGTTTCATTAAATTCTGACACTTATTTGATTTTTACAAGAAAAACATTTTTTTAATAAAAATTTCGAACATGCTAAAAAGGATTAAAAGATAATTAAATAATCAGAAATACTGTGGTCTTTCCTCTTAATAATAACAAGTCTTTACATATAAAACTTTGTTTTTATTAAATATGTTCCATTTTTCATCATAATATGCTCTTTTTTCCTCGAATTACTGGAGGTACCTAATTAACATGTTGTTTTAACCTGTGCTTAACCGCAAACCACTGGTAAATACACTACTACTCTCACCATAGCTTGACATTATTTAATTATGTTCACCTTATCGGTGCAGTGAGTCACGAGCCATCATTTAAAAAAAATTTTTTTAAAAAAAAACAAAATAATTATTTAAAATCTTTATTTGAACATGAACCCGAGTCGCTAAAACCAGTTAAAAAAAAAAAAAAAAAAACGCTATCACAGCCATGGAGCAACCGTATCTCTCTCTTTCTTTCTCTTTCTACCAAATGAGTCAATGATTTACCTCTTCTTGTGCCCGGCTCCAAGTGAAACAAGAAGAAGCAGACAAAGACTACAAAAAATATTTTGTCTTAAGCTGATGTGTTCTAAAAATGTCTCAGCCCGACCAAGATGAAATTTTTTTAAAAATTCTGATGCATGGTCATTCACTGATATTTTGACAAATGGATTGGGTCGAGAAATTTTCAGCACCACCACGTACACCAGTTACACTCACGTTTTCGTTTTATCATCCAACTGACACCCCATGTTGCCTCTCCCATACTCTTTCATTCTCTTCCGCCAATATTTCCTGCAATATCTCGAATAATCTATTTGGAGAAAAAGCTTCCGAAATAGTGTCTGTCACCTTCGAAATCTTTATGTCTAGCATAGAAAAACACTTCATTTTTAGCCATTTTCTTGATGTTATCTATTTTTTGTGTTTTAATTTCTGTCAGATGAACTATAATTTATATTTAGTTTCCTTTCAGACATTCTTATGTGTTTGCGTGTGTGTTTTCATTATGACAATGCTTTTACTAATAATCTGTCCGATAAT